ATTGGTAGTTACAGCCTTGTCCCATCGCTGCAACTCAGTACGGACACGCGAAGGTTGAGAGTCGTGCATCCTCCGAAACACAACCCAACCGAGCCGCACTGCTTCTTGACACAGTGCCCGCTCTACCCGGAAGCCAGCCGCACCAATGTGTCGGAGGAAACACCGTACACCTGGCGACCGAGTCAGCGTGCACTGCGCCCGGCCCGCCACAGGCGTTGCTAGTGCGCAATGGGACAAGAACATCCCTGCCGGCCAAACCCTCCCCTACCCTGGACGACGCTGAGCCAATTGTGCGCGGCACCATGGGTCTCCCGGTCTTGGCCGGCTGCGACAGAGCCTGGATTCGAACCAGGATCTCTAGTGGCACAGCTTAGACCATTGCGCCACTCGGGAGGCCATAATTACCCATTTTCATTATGTTTGTAATAGAGTGTTTTTTTAAACGGGGGTTTCTATCTTAATTGTAATCTTTTTTTTTCTGGCGTTGAGTGTTGTTGCTCCCTGATATTTTAGCGTTTGTTGAAGGATAGTGTGACGTGTCGTGGTCTGAGATTTGGTTCTGCAGTGATGGAACACAGAGACCTAACGGTGTGTGTTCTAGAATGTGTTCTAGTATCGGTTCACTGTGTTCTTGTACGTGAACAGGTGTGTATGATGAGGGTAGTTCATTTGTCCTCATTGTTGAGACAGACGTGAGAATAATTCTAAGTAATCACTGTTTGTCAGTATTCCTGAATGAGTGAGTTTGTACTTACCAGTAATTATCGGGTATTGCTGTGAATCTATTGTGGAAGTCTTCCAGAATGTGGGTGTTTTTTTAAATAGAGCAGTGAGGCTATCCCACAGTAAGTAAGGGTTTGTTTTGAAGTACGGCCGTTTGTGTAGAGAGGAAGATGGTATAGAGGCGGTGTGTTGAGGGGTTGAAGAGATTGAGGAACAGAATCAGGATCCAACTCCCAAAACCCCCTGATGACACATATTACACTAACCCACCAAGCTGAACCTCTGAATACACTCAGCACACACAAACCAGGCTGAACCTCTGAATACACTCAGCACACACAAACCAAGCTGAACCTCTGAATACACTCAGCACACACAAACCAAGCTGATGCGTCATGCCATTTAAAAAAAAATCTTTTTTTCTCTTATCGTATTAAAAAACACAAATGTAATTATATTTTAATCAATGTGAAAGAAAGTTCAACCAATGTTCTCGTCGTTGTGACTCCTTATCCATGTAGCGGCAGCTCAGGGTTGTACACAGGGCGGTTGTTGGTGTGTGTGTTCAGCTGGGGTCTCTCTGTTCAACCTGTAATCTCTACAGCTTTATCTCCCCTGTTATCTCCCCTGTTATCTCCCGTTATCTCCCCTGTTATCCCCCATTATCTCCCCTGTTATCTCCCGTTATCTCCCCTGTTATCCCCTGTTATCTCCCCTGTTATCTCCCCTGTTATCTCCCGTTATCTCCCCTGTTATCCCCCGTTATCTCCCCTGTTATCTCCCGTTTTCTCCTCTGTTATCTCCCGTTATCTCCCCTGTTATCTGAGGCAAAACATACAGTCGTCCTCTTGCCTGATATTCCTGAGTTTCTGTGACAAGTTTGTTAAGTTGTTGCCAACAGTTGTGTTACAGATATTTTATAAGAAAATGTTATCAAATGAAAAAAACATCATTCGCAACATAATACAGCCTGTTGTTTTATTTTGTCTTTCATTTGTAGTTGTGTATGTGCTTGAAAAGATTGTCTTGAACTAAAGCATTCTGACGGAGCAGCGGTTTAGCTAACTTCAACAGATTTGACTGTTTTTGAGAAAAATAACCACCATTCCACTTGAGAACTACCGGTAAAAGCAGTCCAACCAATAACTACACAATTATTTATTGGGTTAAAATGTTTAAAAATGCATTACACTCATTTGACCAAAGATTTTGTATAAACCACAAAAAAAACAGTCCAACCCGTAGTCATATTCACAACTTCATACGTTGAACCCACCCTGTAGGGAGCTCTTCAGCAGGCTAGGGAGGCTTCTGCCTGGTCCTGGTCATACAGCGGAGGGTAAGGAGGAGGAGTAGTGTTCTTGGCCGGTTCTGTCTGTTCTGTGTCAGTCTCATTGGTCCATTGGTAGGACCGGCAGATTCTACAGACACTTCTCTGACACCAGTGTTTCGGACCTGATAGGGGGATTATTTCCGGTTCCCACGGACCGACTGGCTGGTTCTGGGTCAGGAAGCCTGAGACTGAAGGAAGGAAGCACTGGTCCTTTTCCAACACGTCTCCAGTTCATCCATTGTCCATAAGAAACAGTGGTCTTCACTGGAGCGATGTGGAGAAGTGGCTTGGCAGCGCGTCACATTGGGTAGGGTTGATATCAGAAATATTAAGGATGATAGGTTTGGGAACATATTATACTAGGTACTATAGGGGAGGGTTGGATTAGTGGAGCAGGTGAAGACTTAGAACGCCAGGCACAGATTTTCCTCAGAGAAAAGAAACAGTGAATATTTGAAAATATGGATATTTGATGGATTATGAAGAAGTGGCTCTGTGAGGTATCGTGACAGAAAAAGAGAGGTTGTGTGTGCGTTGGATGCCTGAGAGAGAGAACAGTACATGTGGTAAGGAGGTGGTGTGTAAATTTTAAAAAAGATTGCCGATTCAGAAGAGACTGATGTTTCAGCAATACTGGGAAATGGACATGGTCAGGAGAGGCAATGAGAGAAGCCTGAGACCTAGAGAGAAGGGTTAGGGAGGAGAGGGAGAGAGAGATGGGAAGGAAGGTTAGAGGGAGAGAGAGATGGAGAAGGTTAGAAGGAGAGAGAGATGGGGAAGGAGGATGTTAGAGGGAGAGAGAGATGGAGAAGGAGAAGGTTAGAGTTGAGAGAGATGGGGTAGAGGAAGGAGAGGTGGGAGAAGGAGAAGGTTAGAGGGGAAGGAGAAGGTAGAGGAGAGAGAGAGATGGAGGGGAAGGAGAAGGTTAGAGGGAGAGAGAGATGGAGGAGAGGTTAGAGGGAGAGAGAATGGGGAAGGAGGGTTAGAGGGAGAGGGAGGATGGAGAAGGTTAGGGGAGAGAGAGATGGGAGGAGGGAGAGGGCGAGAGAGAGGGCGAGGTAGAGGGAGAGAGAGTGGAGAAGGTTAGAGGGAGAGAGATGGGAGAGGTGAGGGAGAGAGATGGAGAAGGTTAGAGGGAGAGGAGAGGATGGGGACGGAGAGGTTTAGAGGGAGAGAGGGGATGGAGAAGGTTAGAGGGAGAGAGAGATGGGGAAAGGAGAAGGTTAGAGGGAGAGAGAGATGGAGAAGGTTAGAGGGAGAGAGAGATGGGAAGGAGAGGTTAGAGGGAGAGAGAGATGGAGAAGGTTAGAGGGAGAGAGAGATGGAGAAGGTTAGAGGGAGAGAGAGATGGAGGAGGGTTTGAGGGAGGCGAGATGGAGAGTTAGAGGGCGAGAAGAGGCGAAGGTTAGAGGGAGAGAGAGATGGAAGAAGGTTAGAAGGAGAGAGATGGAGAAGGTTAGAGGGAGGAGCGATGGAGAGGTTAGAGGGCGAGAGAGATGGGGAGGAGAAGGTTAGAGGGGAGAGTGAAGATGGAGAAGGGTTAGAGGGAGAGAGAGTGGAGAAGGAGATGCAGAGGGAGAGAGGGGGAGAAGGAGGGAAGGTTAGAGGGGAGAGAGAGATGGAGAAGGTTAGAGGGAGAGAGAGATGGAGAAGGTTAGAGGGAGAGAGAGAGATGGGAAGGGTTGGGAGAGGGAGAGGGGAGGAGAGGTTGGGGAGGGTGGGAAGGTGGGAGGTTGGGGAGAGGATGGAGCAGTTTGGGGAAGGAGATGGAGAAGGTTAGAGGGGGAGGAGAGAGGGGAGGGTTAGAGGGAGGAGAGAGATGGGGGAGAGGTTGAGGGAGAGGAGGAGGGAGATGGAGGTTCAGAGGGAGCGAGAAGAGATGGAGAGTTGGGGAGAGAGGATGGAGAGGTTAGAGGGAGAGGAGATGGAGAGGCGAGGGTAGAGGGAGGAGAGATGGAGAGGAGAAGGTTGGGAGGGGGGAGAGATGAGATGGAGAAGGTTAGAGGGCGAGAGAGATGGAGAAGGTTGAGGGGGAGAGAGCGAGAGTGGGGGGGTTGAGGGAGAGAGAGATGGGAAGGTTGGGGAGGAGAGATGGGGAGGTTAGGGTGCGATAGGATGGAGAGGTTAGAGGGAGAGAGAGAGGAATGTGGGGAGAGGTTGAGGGGGTGGAGAGATGGGAGGTTGAGGGAGAGAGAGGATTGGAAGGTTAGAGGGGGAGAGAGAGATGGGGCAAGGAGGGTTAGGAGGGAGAGAGAGATGGAGAACGGTTAGAGGGAGAGAAAGAGTGGGGGAGAAGGTGGAGGGAGAGAGAGATGGGAGGGTTGAGGGAGAGAGAGATGGAAGAGGTTAGAGGGAGAGAGAGATGGGGAGGTTGAGGGAGAGAGAGATGGGGTAGGAGGAAGGTTAGGAGGGAGAGAGAGAAGGGTTTAGGGAGGAGAGGGATAGAGAGAGGGGGAGGTTAGAGGGAGAGAGAGCTGGGGAAGGGTAGAGGGAGAGAGGCGATGGGGTAGGATGTGTGGGAGAGAGAGATGGGGTCGGAGAGGTTAGAGGGGAGAGGAGAGATGGAGAAGGTTTAGAGGTGGAGAGAGAGATGGGATTGATGGGGGTAGGCTAGAGGGTAGGATGGGAGTAGGGATAAGAGGGTAGGATGGGTAGGCGTAGGATGGTAGGTGGGGTTAGGATGGGGTAGGATGGGGTAGGATGGGGTAGGATGGGTGCGAGTGCTAAGTGGTATGGAGTAGCAGTCTATTGTGAGGTCTGAGGGTTGAAGTGAGGTGAACAGGAAGTGAGGTGAACAGGAAGTGGTGGAGGTGGTACAGGCAGGGTTAGGGCTACGGTCTGGCACGGTCACGACTGAGGTAAATGCTGGTAGTTCGCCTCTGTTCTTCACATGGTGTGGGTCTCCCCTGGGAGGCAGACCAGCTGAGAAGACCTTTCTAGATCTCTAGGCATACATGGTCAGCTGGAGCCACTGGACATAGAGGAGAGACATAGAAGGGTATGATCAGTTAGGACATAGAAGGGTATGATCAGTTAGGACATAGAGGGTATGATCAGTTAGGACATAGAAGGGTATGATCAGTTAGGACATAGAAGGGTATGATCAGTTAGGACATAGAGGGGTATGATCAGTTAGGACATAGAAGGGTATGATCAGTTAGGACATAGAAGGGTATGATCAGTTAGGACATAGAAGGGTATGATCAGTTAGGACATAGAGGGTATGATCAGTTAGGACATAGAAGGGTATGATCAGTTAGGACATAGAGGGTATGATCAGTTAGGACATAGAGGGTATGATCAGTTAGGACATAGAGGGTATGATCAGTTAGGACATAGAGGGTATGATCAGTTAGGACATAGAGGGTATGATCAGTTAGGACATAGAGGGTATGATCAGTTAGGACATATAAGGGTATGATCAGTTAGGACATAGAAGGGGTATGATCAGTTAGGACATAGAGGGTATGATCAGTTAGGACATAGAAGGTATGATCAGTTAGGACATAGAGGATATGATCAGTTAGGACATAGAAGGGTATGATCAGTTAGGACATAGAGGATATGATCAGTTAGGACATAGAAGGTATGATCAGTTAGGACATAGAGGATATGATCAGTTAGGACATAGAAGGTATGATCAGTTAGGACATAGAAGGTATGATCAGTTAGGACATAGAAGGGTATGATCAGTTAGGACATAGAAGGGGTATGATCAGTTAGGACATAGAGGGTATGATCAGTTAGGACATAGAAGGTATGATCAGTTAGGACATAGAAGGGTATGATCAGTTAGGACATAGAAGGGGTATGATCAGTTAGGACATAGAGGGTATGATCAGTTAGGACATAGAAGGGGTATGATCAGTTAGGACATAGAGGGTATGATCAGTTAGGACATAGAAGGTATGATCAGTTAGGACATAGAAGGGTATGATCAGTTAGGACATAGAGGGTATGATCAGTTAGGACATAGAAGGTATGATCAGTTAGGACATAGAAGGGTATGATCAGTTAGGACATAGAAGGGGTATGATCAGTTAGGACATAGAGGGTATGATCAGTTAGGACATAGAAGGGGTATGATCAGTTAGGACATAGAAGGGTATGATCAGTTAGGACATATAGGTGAGACAGAAAATGGTTAGATATACTGCAATGTTGGAGCTAGAAACACATGCATTTCGCTACACCCGCAATAACATCTGCTAAACATGTGTATGTGACAAATAACATTTGATTTGATTTAAACGGATTTAGAGGGGTATGATCAGTTAGGACATAGAGGGGTATGATCATGTAACCGGTGTGAAATGGCTAGCTGGTTAGCGGTGCGCTAGTAGCGTTTCAATCGGTGACGTCACTCGCTCTGAGACCTTGAAGTAGTTGTTTCCCTTTGCTCTGCAAGGGCCGCGGCTTTTGTGGAGCGACGGGTAACGGGTGCTTCGAGGGTGACTGTTGTCGATGTGTGCAGAGGGTCCCTGGTTCAAGCCCAGGTAGGGGCAAGGAGAGGGACGGAAGCAACACTGTTACAATCAGTTAGGACATAGAGGAGAGACATAGAGGGGTATGATCAGTTAGGACAGAAGTTCTCAAAGTGGGGTCCGCGGAGGTACTGCAGGGGGTTCATGTTCATTTCTCTACCATAAGCCGCCTCCAATGTCATTTTAGAGAATTTGGCAGTACGTCCAACCGGCCTCACAACCACCCTAACCCAGGACCTCCACATCAGCCTTCTTCATCGTTTGAGACCAGCCATCCAGACAGCTGATGAAACTGTGGGTTTGCCACAACCGAAGAATTTCTGCACAAACTGTCAGAAACCGTCTCAGGGAAGCTCATCTGCGTGCTCGTCGTCCTCACCAGGGTCTTGACCTGAATGCAGTTCGGCATTGTAACCGACATCAGTGGGCAAACGCTCACTTTCGATGGCCACTGGCACGCTGGAGAAGTGTGCTCTTCACGGATGAATCCCTGTTTCAACTGTACCGGGCAGATGGCAGACAGCGTGTATGGCGCTGTGTGGGCGAGCGGTTTGCTGATGTCAACGTTGTGAACAGTGTGCCAAATGGTGGCGGCGGGGTTATGGTTGGGCAGGGATAAGCTATAGACAACAAACACAATTGCATTTTTAATGCACAGAGATACCGTTACGAGATCCTGAGGCCCATTGTTGTGCCATTCATCCGCCGCCATCGCCTCATGTTTCAGCATGATAATACACGGCCCCATGTCGCGAGGATCTGTACACAGTTCCTGGAAGCTGAAAATGTCTCTGTTCTTCCACGGCCTGCATACTCACAAGACATGTCACCCATTGAGCAGGTTTGGAATGCTCTTGATCGATACATACGACAGCGTGTTCCAGTTCTTGCCAATATCCAGCAACTTCGCACAGCCATTGAAGAGGAGTGGGACAACATTCCACAGGCTACAATCAACAGCCTGATCAACTCTATGCGAAGGAGATGTGTCGCGCTGCATGAGGAAAATGGTGGTCACACCAGATACTGACTGGTTTTCTGATCCACTGCCCTACCTTTCTTTAAAGGTATCTGTGACCAACAGATGCATATCTGTATTCCCAGTCATGTGGAATCCATAGATTAGGGCCTAATGAATTTATTTGAATTGACTGATTTCCTTGTAACTCAGTAACATTTTTGAAAATTGTTGCGTTTATATTTTTGTTCAGTGTATATATATATATACAGTGCATTCGGAAAGTATTTTGTTACGTTACAGCCTTATTCTCAAATTGATTAATTGTTTTTCCCCCTCATCAATCTACACACAATACCCCATAATGACAAAGCAAAAACAGGTTTTTAGAAATGTTAGCTCATTTTAAAATATTTTTAAAAAGATTACATTTACATAAGTATTCAGACCCTTTACTCAGTACTTTGTTGAAGCACCTTTGGCTGAGGTTAGCATCAAGTCTTCTTGGGTATGACGCTACAAGCTTGGCACACCTGTATTTAGGGAGTTTCTCCCATTCTTCTCTGCAGATCCTCTCAAGCTCTGTCAGGTTGGATGGGGAGCGTCGCTGCACAGCTATTTTCAGGTCTCTCCAGAGATGTTCGATCAGGTTCAAGTCCGGGCTCTGGCTGGGCCACTCAAGGATATTCAGAGACTTGTCCCGAAGCCACTCCTGCGTTGTCTTGGCTGTGTGCTTAGGGTCGTTGTCCTGTTGGAAGGTGAACCTTCGCCCCAGTCTGAGGTCCTGAGCGCTCTGGAGCAGGTTTTCATCAAGGATCTCTCTGTACTTTGCGCCGTTAATTTTTCCCTATATCCTGACTAGTCGCTGCCACTGAAAAACATCCCCACAGCATGATGCTGCCACCACCATGCTGCACCGTAGGGATGGTGCCAGGTTTCCTCCAGACGTGATGCTGCCACCACCATGCTTCACCGTAGGGATGGTGCCAGGTTTCCTCCAGCCGTGATGCTGCCACCACCATGCTTCACCGTAGGGATGGTGCCAGGTTTCCTCCAGAAGTGACGCTTGGCATTCAGGCCAAATAGTTCAATCTTGGTTTCATCAGACCAGAGAATCTTGTACGTCTTTAGGTGCCTTTTGGCAAACTCCAAGCTGCCTTTTACTGAGGAGTGGCTTCCGTCTGGCCACTCTACCATAAAGGCCTGATTGGTGGAGTGCTGCAGAGATGGTTGTCCTTCTGGAAGGTTCTCCAATCTCCACAGAGGAACTCTAGAGCTCTGTCAGAGTGACCATCAGGTTCTGGGTCACCTCCCTGACCAAGGCCCTTCTCCCCCGATTGCTCAGTTTGGTCGGGCGGCCAGCTCTAGGAAGAGTCTTAAATATAAATAAATATGCCATTTAGCAGACGCTTTTATCAAAGCGACTAAGTCATGTGTGCATACATTTTTACGTATGGGTGGTCCCAGGGATCGAACCCACTACCCTGGAGTTACAAGCGCCATGCTCTACAAATTGAGCTACAGAGGACCACATGCATGTCTGGTTCCAAACTTCTTCCATTTAAGAATGATGGAGGCCACTGTGTTCTTGGGGACCTTCAATGCTGCAGAAATGTTTTGGTACCCTTCCACAGATCTGTGCCTCGACACAATCCTGTCTCGCAGCTCTACGGACAATTCCTTCGACCTCATGGCTTGGTTTTTGCTCTGACATGCACTGTCAACTATGGGACCATATATAGACAGGTGTGTGCCTTTCCAAATCATGTCCAATCAATTTAATTTACCACAGGTGGACTCAAATTAAGTTGTAGAAACATCTCAAGGATGATCAATGGAAACAGGATGCACCTGAGCTCAATTTCAAGTCTCAAAGGGTCTGAATACTTATGTAAATAAGGTATTTCAGTTTTTTATATTGAATACATTTGCAAAAATGTCCAACAACCTGTTTTCGCTTTGTCATTATGGGGTATTGTGTGTAGATTGATGAGGGAATAAAATCAATTTTAGAATAAGGCTGTAGCGTAACAAAATGTGGAAAAAGTCAAGGGGTCTGAATACTTTTCAAATGCAATGTACAGTACAGTACCAGTCAAAATTGTGTTGTTTAAGTGTTCCCTTTATTTTTTTGAGCAGTGTATTTTCCATAGGGTCTACTTTACACCAGAGCAGACAAGATCAATTCTAAATATTCAAAATGTTGGCAAAGGTGTAAAACGGGGATTGGCACACTTATGCATATGTTTTTGTCCTGCCCTGAACTAGGCAATTATTGGGAAGACTTTATACAGGTCTTATCACAGGTCACTAATATGACTGTACCACTTGATCCTTCCCTTATTCTTCTTGGAGATGACTCTGTTCTACCAGTTAACATTGGTAGCAGAACCAGATTCATTCAATTGGCAGTCATTGCAGCCAATAAATGCACAGCTATTATAATGGAAGAGTGACACTCCGCCAAGCAAGCAGGTGTGGCTAAAACAACTAACTTCCTATATTCCATCTGAAAGAATAATGCACAATTTACATAATAAACCCTTTGAATTGACTGATGTCTGGGGGGTACTGTCCCGCCCTGACTTATGGGACTCTAGTATGTTGAGTCAGGGTGTGGAGTTCTACGTTAGTATTTTCTATGTTCTCAGTCTAGGTGTTGTATTTCTATGTTTGGCCGGGTGTGGTTCCCAATCAGAGACAGCTGTCGCTCGTTGTCTCTGATTGGGGATCGTACTTAGGCAGCCTGTTGGCACTCATTATCCCACCAATCACTAGTGGTGGGATCTTGGTCCGTGTAGAGGCTTGTGTTGTGTTTAGCCTGATGACTTCACGTTACGTTGTTTTGTTCGTGTGTTGTCATCAAGGCAAAGGGTGGCTACTTTGAAGAATCTCAAATATAACATATATTTTGATTTGTTTAACCCTTTTTTTGGTTACTACATGATTGCATGTGTGTTATTTCATAGTTTTGATGTCTTCACTATTATTCTACAATGTAGAAAATAGTAAAAAATAAAGAAAAACCCTTGAATGAGTCGGGGTGTCCAAACTTTTGACTGGTACTGTATCTATAAAATAATATTACAACAGATTAAACAGATTATATTTTGGGCAAGTGATCTGAAGAATAGGTCTAAAGGTTGTAATACACAGAACAAAAATATAAACATGCAACAATTTCAAAGATTTTACTGAGTTACAGGTCATATAAGGAAATCAGTCAATTGAAATAAATTCATTAGGCCCTAATCTATGGATTTCAGTTGACAGGGAATACAGATATGCATCTGTTGGTCACAGATACCTTTAAAAAAGGTAGGGGCATGGATCAGCACACCATTCAGTATCTGGTGTGACCACCATTTCCCTCATGCAGCGTGACACATCTCCTTCACATAGAGTTGATCAGGCTGTTGGTTGTGGCCTGTGGAATGTTGTTCCCACTCCTCTTCAATGGCTGTGCGAAGTTGCTGGATATTGACGGGAACTGGAACACGCTGTCGTACCCGTCGATCCAGAGCATCCCAAACATGATCAATGGGTGACATGTCTAGTGAGTATGCAGGCCATGGAAGAAGTGGGACATTTTCAGCTTCCAGGAATTGTATACAGATCCTTGTGACATGGGGCTGTGCATTACCATGCTGAAACATGAGGTGATGGTGGCGGATGAATGGCACTCAGGATCTCGTAACGGTATCGCTGTGCATTCAAATAGCCATCAATGAAATGTAATTGTGTTCATTTTCCGTAGCTTATGCCTGCCCATACCATAACCCCACCGCCACCATGGGGCACTCTTTTCACAATGTTGACATCAGCAAACCATTCGCCCACACGTTTGCCATCTGCCCGGTACAGTTGAAACCGGGATTCATCCGTGAAGAGCACACTTCTCCAGCGTGCCAGTGGCCATCGAAGGTGAGCATTTGCCCACTGAAGTCGGTTACAACGGCAAACTGCAGTCAGGTCAAGACCCTGGTGAGGACGACGAGCACGCAGATGAGCTTCCCTGAGATGGTTTCTTACAGTTTGTGCAGAAATTCTTCGGTTGTGGCAAACCCACAGTTTCATCAGCTGTCTGGATGGCTGGTCTCAGACGACCCCGCAGGTGAAGAAGCAGGAAGTGGAGGTCCTGGGCTGGCGTGGTTCTACGTGGTCTGGGGAGGTCCTGGGCTGGCGTGGTTCTACGTGGTCTGGGGAGGTCCTGGGCTGGCGTGGTTACACGTGGTCTGTGGAGGTCCTGGGCTGGCGTGGTTACACGTGGTCTGGGGAGGTCCTGGGCTGGCGTGGTTACACGTGGTCTGGGGAGGTCCTGGGCTGGCGTGGAGGTCCTGGGCTGGCGTGGTTACACGTGGTCTGGGGAGGTCCTGGGCTGGCGTGGTTACACGTGGTCTGGGGAGGTCCTGGGCTGGCGTGGTTACACGTGGTCTGGGGAGGTCCTGGGCTGGCGTGGTTCTACGTGGTCTGGGGAGGTCCTGGGCTGGCGTGGTTACACGTGGTCTGTGGTTGTGAGGCCGGTTGGATGTACTGCCAAATTCTCTAAAATGACATTGGAGGTGGCTTATGGTAGAGAAATGAACATTCAATTATCTGGCAACAGCTCTGGTGGACATTCCGTCAGTCAGCATGCCAAATGCACGCTCCCTCAAAACTTGAGACATCTTTGGCATTGTGTTGTGTGACAAAACTGCACATTTTAGAGTGGCCTTTTATCGTCCCCAGCACAAGGTGCACCTGTGTAGTGATCATGCTGTTTAATCAGCTTCTTGATATGCCACACATGTCAGGTGGATGGATTATCTTGGCAAAGGATAAATGCTCACTAACAGGGATGTAAATAGATTTGTGCACCAAATTTGAGATAAATAAGCTTTTTGTGCGTATGGAACATTTCTGGGATATTTCATTTCAGCTCATGAAACATGGGACCAACACTTTACATGTTGCATTCATATTTTTGTTCAGTGTAGAATACAATACAATGTAATATTTTTTTATCTACAATGTATGTTATTAACCCTGAGCAACATGGGACTGGGAAGCTCACAGGGATAATGGTATCCACAGTACTCCACCAGCCGGGGCGGCAGGTAGCTTAGTGGTTAAGAGTGTTGTGCCAGTAAACGAAAGGTCACTGGTTCTAATCCCCGAGCCGACTAGGTGAAAATCTGTCGATGTGCCCTTGAGCGAGGCACTTAACCCTAATTGCGCTGGATAAGAGCGTCTGCTAAATGACTAAAATGTAATTTTTTTACTCATTACTTCTTGTATTCCCCAAAAGTGTATTTACTCAAACATAAATGCATTGTAATTTAAGCTTTAAAACTGCAAAGTTTTATCTCTGCCTTATGGCAAAATGTGTAGAATTGCAGGGTATTAGCTTGAAAACTGATCTCAGATGCCAAGAGGCGGGCGTTTAAATGTTCCTTCCCAGGGCCAGAGACGTGGTTCGTCCAGCCATGCACTGCCGAAGTCATAGTAAAACTCCTTGTATGTTAGTTTTATCTCACTCCAGTTGTGTTCTGGTTATGAATTTGCAATCACGAAAGGGGTCCCCGGACCCAAAAAGTTTTGGTAACACAGATATCAGTTAGGTTGGTAACACTGTTGTTGTCCTTATACATGTGCAGTAAGGGGCTGTGTCGACAGGGTACTTTTCCCCAAAAAAATAAGCTAAACGCTCCGACTAGGGAAAAGCAGCAGCTAACCGTGAGCACCATTAAAAACAATGGTGATACAGACGTTAGGTGAAAACAACATCTTGGTCCACTCTACCTAAGGCAGTGGTAATAACATCTTGGTTCACTCTACCTAAGGCAGTGGTAATAACACCTTGGCGGTGGTAATAACATCTTGGCAGTGGTAATAACATCTTGGTCCACTCTACCTAAGGCAGTGGTAATAACATCTTGGTTCACTCTACCTAAGGCAGTGGTAATAACACCTTGGCGGTGGTAATAACATCTTGGTTCACTCTACCTAAGGCGGTGGTAATAACATCTTGGTCCACTCTACCTAAGGCAGTGGTAATAACATCTTGGTCCACTCTACCTAAGGCGGTGGTAATAACATCTTGGTTCACTCTACCTAAGGCGGTGGTAATAACATCTTGGTCCACTCTACCTAAGGCAGTGGTAATAACATCTTGGTTCACTCTACCTAAGGCGGTGGTAATAACATCTTGGTCCACTCTACCTAAGGCAGTGGTAATAACATCTTGGTCCACTCTACCTAAGGCGGTGGTAATAACATCTTGGTCCACTCTACCTAAGGCAGTGGTAATAACATCTTGGTTCACTCTACCTAAGGCGGTGGTAATAACATCTTGGTCCACTCTACCTAAGGCAGTGGTAATAACATCTTGGTCCACTCTACCTAAGGCGGTGGTAATAACATCTTGGTCCATTCTACCTAAGGCGGTGGTAATAACATCTTGGTCCACGCTACCTAAGGCAGTGGTAATAACATCTTGGCGGTGGTAATAAGATGGCTTGTTTTCCAAGATGGCGTAGTAGTGCAGTTGTGTTTTTATCGTATGTCTGTAAATAGCCTGTAAATACCCTATTTTTCTGTATTTTTCGTACATATTTCCATATCAGACTTTTCATCCTTCTACAAAATATACTTTCCTGCAACCCGCCTCACTCAATGTGGAACGGATTCTATTATTGACTTACCTTTATCTAGAATCTAGAATCTCCAGTTGAAACTAGCTAGCCAGCTAGCCAGCTAACTAGCTACTTGCTATTAGCCTCAGCTAGCGGTATTTCACCCAGAACATTGGATTTTTTCTGCGGGATTAATTTTAATCACTGGACATTAATCACCGGATATTCGGCCAGTCTGCACAGCGCGTTATCGACCCAGAACATATCAGTTTTTCTGCCGGAATCACTGAATCACTGGACCTTTAACTCCGGATTCATCGCTATCAGCTAGCTACAACAAAACGGACGCTGTGGTCTGGCTAATCATCCTGAGCTAGGCCCATCTCCCGGCTATCTACCTCTCTGTCAACCGGACGGGACCACCTAGTGTTGACACGGAGCCCCGCCGATCCTACACGACTGGTCTGCCGACGAAATCATCTGATGTGGTTACGACGTTAACCACGAAGATTCCATCCATCTGCTAGCCCCGGCCCGCTAGCACACGCTAGCCGTGGCCTCTTACTCACTAGTTTACCACCGGACCTTATGATAACTCAGCTATACAGCTGATGTCTGCTGGACTGTTCCTTTTTACGGTACTACATCCTGTTTATGTTTAGCCTCAGCCCAAACATGGTTAGTTTATTGTTGTTTCGGTTATTTCTAATTTTACTATATCACTGTAGACCCCCCAGCCTAGCTAAACCTGCCTTAGATAGCTCCTTTGCCCCTCCCCCTATACACGCGGAGACCGACTCAATTGATGCCTCCAGCGATGCTATCTCTTTCATTGTTACCCAACGCTTAGGTTTACCTCCACTTTACTCATATCCTTCCATATCCTTGTCTGTACATAATGCCCTGAATCTTTTCTATAACACCCGGAAATCTGCCCCCTTTATTCTATGTACCCAACGCACTAGAAGACCAGTTCTTAAAGCCTTTAGCCGTATCCTTATTCTAGTCCTCCTCTGTTCCTCTGGTGATGTAGAGGCTAACCCAGGCCCTGCAGCCCTCAGTATCACTCCTACTCCCCAGGCGCTATCATTTGATGACTTCTGTAATCGCAAAAGTCTTGGTTTCTTGCACATAAATATCAGAAGTCTACTTCCTAAGTTTGAGTTATTCACTGCGTTAGCACACTCTGCCAACCCTGATGTTCTAGCAGTGTCTGAATCCTGGCTCAGGAAGGCCACCAAAAATTCTGAAATTTCCATCCCCAACTATAACATTTTCCGTCTAGATAGAACTGCCAAAGGGGGTGGAGTTGCAATCTACTGTAGAGATAGCCTGCAGAGCTCTATCATACTATCCAGGTCTGTGCCCAAACAGTTTGAGCTTCTACTTCTAAAAATCCACCTTTCCAGAAATAAGTCTCTCACTGTTGCCGCTTGCTACAGACCCCCCTCAGCCCCCAGCTGTGCCCTGGACACCATATGTGAATTGATTGCCCCCCATCTATCCTCAGAGTTTGTACTGCTTGGTGACCTAAATTGGGATATGCTTAATACCCCAGCCATCCTACAATCCAAGCTAGATGCCCTCAACCTCACGCAAATTATCAACGAACCTACCAGGTACAACCCTAAATCCGTAAACATGGGTACCCTCATAGATATCATCCTGACTAACATACCCTCTAAATACACCTCAGCTGTCTTCAACCAGGATCTCAGCGATCACTGCCTTATTGCCTGCGTCCGTAACGGGTCCGCGGTCAAACGACCACCCCTCATCACTGTCAAACGCTCCCTAAAACACTTTAGCGAGCATGCCTTCCTAATTGACCTGGCCCAGGTATCCTGGATGGATATAGATCTCATTCCGTCAGTAGAGGATGCCTGGTTGTTCCTTAAAAGTAATTTCCTCTCAATCTTAAATAAACATGCCCCATTCAAAAAATACAGAACTAAGAACCGATATAGCCCCTGGTTCTCCTCAGACTTGACTGCCCTTGACCAGCACAAAAACATCCTGTGGCGTACAGCATTAGCATCAAATAGCCCCCGCGATATGCAACTTTTCAGGGAAGTTAGGAACCAATATACACAAGCAGTCAGGAAAGCAAAGGCTAACTTTTTCAAACAGAAATTTGCATCCTGTAGCACTAACTCCAAAAAGTTTTGGGACACTGTAAAGTCCATGGAGAATAAGAGCACTTCCTCCCAGCTGCCCACTGCACTGAGGCTAGGAAACACTATCACCACCGATAAATCTACAATAATCGAGAATTTCAACAAGCATTTTGCTACAGCTGGCCATGCTTTCCATCTGGCTACCACTAATCCGGCCACCAACTCTGCACCCTCTGCTGCAACTTGCCCATGCCCCCCCCCGCTTCTCCTTCACACAAATTCAGACAGCTGATGTTTTGAAAGCGCTGCAAAATCTGGACCCCTACAAATCAGCTGGGCTAGACAATCTGGACCCTTTCTTTCTAAAACTAGCCGCCGAAATTGTCGCAACCCCTATTACTAGTCTGTTCAACCTCTCTTTCATAACGTCTGAGATCCCCAGAGATTGGAAAGCTGCCGCGGTCATCCCCCTCTTCAAAGGGGGTGACACTCTAGATCCAAACTGCTACAGACCTATATCCATCCTGCCCTGCCTTTCGAAAGTATTTGAAAGCCAAGTTAACAAACAGATCACCGACCATTTCGAATACCACCGTACCTTCTCCGCTATGCAATCCGGTTTCCGAGCTGGTCACGGGTGCACTTCAGCCACGCTCAAGGTCATAAACAATATTATAACCGCGATCGATAATAGACAGTACTGTGCAGCCGTCTTCATCGACCTGGCCAAGGCTTTCGACTCTGTCAACCACCGCATTCTTATTGGCAGACTAAATAGCCTTGGTTTCTCAAATGACTGCCTCGCCTGGTTCACCAACTACTTTTCAGATAGAGTTCAGTGTGTCAAATCGGAGGGCCTGTTGTCTGGACCTATGGCAGTCTCTATGGGGGTGCCACAGGGTTCAATTCTTGGGCCGACACTTTTCTCCGTGTATATCAATGATGTCGCTCTTGCTGCTGGTGACTCTCAGATCCACCTCTACGCAGACGACACCATTTTGTATACATCTGGCCCTTCATTGGACACTGTGTTAACAAACCTCCAAACGAGCTTCAATGCCATACAACAATCCTTCAGTAGCCTCCAACTGCTCTTAAACGCTAGTAAAACTAAATGCATGCTTTTCAATCGAACGCTGCTGGCACCCGCCCACCCGACTAGAATCACCACTCTCGACGGGTCTGACCTAGAGTATGTGGACAACTACAAATACCTAGGTGTCTGGTTAGACTGTAAACTCAACTTCCAGACTCACATAAAGAATCTCCAATCCAAAGTTAAATCTAGAATCGGCTTCCTATTTCGCAACAAAGCCTCCTTCACTCATGCTGCCAAACATGCCCTCGTAAAACTGACTATCCTACCGATCCTTGACTTCGGCGATGTCATTTACAAAATAGCCTCCAACACTCTACTCAGCAAATTGGATGTAGTCTATCACAGTGCCATTCGTTTTGTCTCCAAAGCCCCATACACTACCCACCACTGTGACCTGTACGCTCTTGTTGGCTGGTCCTCACTACATGTTCGTCGTCAAACCCACTGGCTCCAGGCCATCTATAAATCACTGCTAGGCAAATCCCCGCCTTATCTTAGCTCATTGGTCACCATAGCAGCACCCACCCGTAGTCTGCGCTCCAGCAGGTATATCTCACTGGTCATTCCCAAACCCAACACCTCCTTTGGCCGCCATTCCTTCCAGTTCTCTGCTGCCAATGACTGGAACGAATTGCAAAAATCTCTGAAGCTGGAGACTCTTATCTCCCTCAATAACTTTAAGCATCAGTTGTCAGAGCACCTTACCGATCACTGCACCTGTACACAGCCCATCTGAAATTAGCCCACCCAACTACCTCATCCCTATATTGTTATTTATTTTGCTCTTTTGCACCCCAGTATCTCTATTTGCACATAATCTCTTGCACATCTAGCATTCCAGTGTTAATACTATTGTAATTATTCTACACTATAGCCTATTTATTGCCTTACCTCCATAACTTGCTACATTTGCACACACTGTATATATATTTTCTGTTGTATTTTTGACTTTATGTTTTTTTACCCCATATGTAACTCTGTGTTGTTTTTATTGCACTGCTTTGCTTTATCTTGGCCAGGTCGCAGTTGTAAATGAGAACCTGTTCTCAACTGGTTTACCTGGTTAAATAAAGGTGAAATAAAATTAAAAAAAAAACATCTTGGTCCACGTTACCTAAAGCAGTGGTAATAACATCTTGGTCCACTCTACCTAAGGCAGTGGTAATAACATCTTGGCAGTGGTAATAACATCTTGGTCCACTCTACCTAAGGCAGTGGTAATAACATCTTGGCAGTGGTAATAACATCTTGGTCCACTCTACCTAAGGCAGTGGTAATAACATCTTGGCAGTGGTAATAACATCTTGGTCCACTCTACCTAAGGCAGTGGTAATAACATCTTGGTTCACTCTACCTAAGGTGGTGGTAATAACATGTTAATACTCATTATATTCCATGATGTATTATAGCATTAGCAGCTTACCTCCAAGACACTGAGTCTGATCGTACCGTCTCCATCCTGGTCAAAGGCCTGGAACGCCCCTGCAAACAAACCCCATATAATCAATCAATCAGTCAATCAATAAATATATCAAAGATTTATATTAAAATTAGAAGAAAACTAATTACAACTTTGGTTGTGTTATCCTCAATTACTTAAAACGTGTTGTATACACACGTGTGGTTGAGTTGTGTTTTTTAAAATGTCAAATAAATCATAATCAACTCAAATATAAAGCCCATTTTACATCAACGTTTACAGTAACCCGACCTGCATGCCAATGGCCAGGAGTTGACAAGACAGCACATACAGATCTGGGACCAGTGTAATACGGAGATAAGGTGACATACTGAACATGGCTTCGAGGCGGACCAGACAGCTGATGAAGCTGTCAAAGTCGATGTTCATGCCCTCGTTGGCGTAGCGCATGGTGATGATGTCATAGAGCTGGTTGTTGAGACGGAAACCTGAACGGGAGACAAAGACACATGACTGAAGAGACAGGAGATAGAGACATACATTAGGCTGTGGAGTGGTCAGTTACCATGCTGCAGCACATTTAAACAAAACAACATTTCTTTACATCTCCTTGTAGTTGCTTACATTTACATTTACGTCATTTAGCAGACGCTCTTATCCAGAGCGACTTACAAATTGGTGCATTCACCCTATAGCCAGTGGGATAACCACTTTACAATAGTTTTTTTTTTTCTTTTTTTTTGGGGGGGGGGTGGGTTGGGGTAAGGGGGGGTAGAAGGATTACTTTATCCTATCCCAGGTATTCCTTAAAGAGGTGGGGTTTCAAATGTCTCCGGAAGGTGGTGAGTGACTCCGCTGTCCTGGCGTCGTGAGGGAGCTTGTTCCACCATTGGGGTGCCAGAGCAGCGAACAGTTTTGACTGGGCTGAGCGGGAACTATGCTTCCGCAGAGGAAGGGGAGCCAGCAGGCCAGAGGTGGATGAACGCAATGCCCTCGTTTGGGTGTAGGGACTGATCAGAGCCTGAAGGTACGGAGGTGCCGTTCCCCTCACTGCTCCATAGGCAAGCACCATGGTCTTGTAACGGATGCAAGCTTCAACTGGAAGCCAGTGGAGTGTGCGGAGGAGCGGGGTGACGTGAGAGAACTTGGGAAGGTTGAACACTGCTTAAACAGGGATCCAATCCAGCTGCCGATTGTTTTCTATTTAAATCTGGTAAACACAACTAGAGATGCTCTACCGCACGGCAAGCGGTACCGGAGCGCCAAGTCTAGGTCCAAAAGACTTCTCAACAGCTTCTACCCCCAAGCCATAAGACTCCTGAACAGCTAATCATGGCTACCTGTACTATTTGCACTGCCCCCCCACCCCCACCCCATCTTTTTACGCTGCTGCTACTCTGTTAATTATTTATGCATAGTCACTTTAACTCTACCCACATGTACATATTACTTCAACTATCTCAACTAGCCGGTGCCCCCGCACATTGACTCTGCACCGGTACCCCCCTGTATATATAGCCTCCCTACTGTCACTTTATTTTACTGTATATATAGCCTCCCTACTGTCACTTTATTTTACTGTATATATAGCCTCCCTACTGTTATTTTATTTTACTTCTGCTCTTTTTTTCTCAACACTTTTTTTGTTGTTGTTTTATTTTACTTTTTTACTAAAAAATAAATGCACTGTTGGTTAAGGGCTGTAAGTAAGCATTTCACTGTAATGTCTGTACCTGTTGTATTCGGCGCATGTGGCCAATAACATTTGATTTGATTTGATCTTACCTGCATCGTTGACAGCATTTCTCATCTCGTAGCTGTTGATGCTGCCAGCCTGGTCCGAGTTATAGTGTTGGAAAATTCCCTAAGAAACAGAGCAGTTATAAATCTACACATCTGACCATGTCTACAGTGCCATTGGGAGCAGCAGGTAAAGGGAAAACCCAGCATTCTCACCTGCCACTGCTTGATCTTGTTCCAGAGATGTCTGAACTCCTGCAGGTTGAGTCTGCCCGTCCCGTCCATCTAGACAGCTGCAGTTAAGACCACAACGACGGGCGACACATGGGGAACTCATCAACATACAGTCACTTGGCTCAAAATAACCTGTTTCTCCACTCCCTTAGCTCACAGACCCTGGTTAATACATTTAGTGCATTTCCTGTAACACCCATGGCCTTGCTACTGCGAACCACAGCAGTAAAATGGTGGATTTGGCCCTCATAGGCCACCGTAGGCCCTGTCCCAGGTCACAACAGACTGTGCTCTCTCTCTCTATAGAGCAGTGGTTTCCCCCAAACCTCTCCTCGGGGACCCCCAGCCGTTCCCTGTATTTGATCTATTCCACAGCTTGCGCATCTCCTCTGTAGCTCAGTTGGTAGAGCATGGCGCTTGTAACGCCAGGGTAGTGGGTTCGATTCCCGGGACCACCCATATGTAAAATGTATCTACACATGTGACTGCTGCTTTGGATGAAAGCGTCCGTCAAATGGCATGTTATTATAATATTATTCAAATTGCCAACCAATCATCAAGCCCTTGACAAAGTGAATCAGGTGAGCTACTTCAGGGCCACAACAACATTGTGAAACATCTGGGGGTCCCCGACGAGAGGTTTGAGAAGCACTGATAGAGACAACACAACCTGACCAGGGCGGGTCTCTGCAGGCGGGTCTCTGCAGGTTGTGTTCTATCTACAGACAACAGAACCTGACCCGGGCGGGTCTCTGCAGGCGGGTCTCTGCAGGTTGTGTTCTATCTACAGACAACAGAACCTGACCCGGGTGGGTCTCTGCAGGCGGGTCTCTGCAGGCGGGTCTCTGCAGGTTGTGTTCTATCTACAGACAACAGAACCTGACCCGGGCGGGTCTCTGCAGGTTGTGTTCTATCTACAGACAACAGAACCTGACCCAGGCGGGTCTCTGCAGGTTGTGTTCTATCTACAGACAACAGAACCTGACCCGGGCGGGTCTCTGCAGGCGGGTCTCTGCAGGCGGGTCTATCTACAGACAGCCCAGATACAGAGGATACGTCCATGAGAGAGATCATGCTCCTGCAGCTGTCCAGGCTAAAACCCTCTGAGTTCAGGTCCTTATCTGTGGGAGAGAGAGAGACAGACGGTTCACAAATCGACAAATGACCACATAGTTGAATCTGGTGTGTCAGCGCAGGGCTAGAACAAAACTGTGGACTATCAGGTGGTCCCAGTTGAGGGTTGGGAAACACTGTAGGTGACTAATGGGAGAATGACAACATAGAAGAGGATATGTTATATGATCTGATATCTATATAGTATATATCTATATGTACTGTATCTGTGGGAGAGAGAGAGAGCGAGGGAGATTTAGGACAGTGTTTCCAAACTCTTCTGGGGACCAGACAGTCCTCATTTGTGTATATGATTTATATACAGTGGGGTCCGAAATTATTGACACCCGTGTTAAAGATAAGCAAAAATAAATTAATTTTACCCAGTACCATTTAACAATTTAGTTAACGAACTTTACACAGTACCAGGACATTCTAGCTAAAAACCTGGTTGCTTCTGCCAGGAGGGTGAAACTTGGCTGCAAGTGGATCTTCCAGCAAGACAATAACCCCAAGCGCACATCAAAATCCATAAAGAAATGGCTAATTGGCCACAAAAATCAACATTTTGCAATGGCCATCTCAGTCTCTGGACTTGAAAATCATTGAAACCCTGTGGTTTGAATTGAAGAGGGCAGTCCATAAGCTCAGACGAAGGATATCAAGGATCAGAAAATATTCTGTATGGAGGAATGGTCTAAGATCCCTCCCAATGTGTTCTCCAATCTCATAGAACATTTTAGAAAAAGGCTCAGTGCCGTTATCCTCGCAAGGTGATGTATTGAAAGGTATTGAAACTAGGGGTGTCAATCATTTTGACCCCTAACTTTTTTTGAGAGATATTTGTTTAACCTGTTAAACAAAATCTCTTTCTCTGAGCAATTGTATGATAAAAAAAATTATATAATTTCTCGATTTGTTTTTGCATACAATATAGCTCAGTATTTTAATTATTTATTTTATACAGTCATTCTTGTTCATCTTTATCAAGGATGTCAATAATTTTGGACCCCTCTGAAATTAGCCCACCCAACTACCTCATCCCCATATTGTTATTTATTTTGCTCATTTGCACCCCAGTATCTCTATTTGCACATCATCTCTTGCACATCTAGCATTCCAGTGTTAATACTAATTGTAATTATTCTGCACTATAGCCTATTTATTGCCTTACCTCCATAACTTACTACATTTGCACACACTGTATATATATTTTCTGTTGTATTTTTGACTTTATGTTTTGTTTTACCCCATGTGTAACTCTGTGTTGTTGTTTTTATCGCACTGCTTTGCTTTATCTTGGCCAGGTCGCAGTTGTAAATGAGAACTTGTTCTCAACTGGCTTACCTGGTTAAATAAAGGTTAAATAAATAAAAATAAAATAAAAATGGTGAACAAAACAGGCCCTAAAATGGAGCTTTGTGGAACCCCTTCTGTAATGATAAAGAAGAGGACTGTAACGTCTACTTTTAGTCTTACGTTTGGAGACGATACTGTTGAGGACATTCTTCAGCTCGTTGGCGGTTATTTCCATTTCCTGTGAGAGAGGAGACAGAGGGAGAAGGACACATGGAGATCATCTGAATGGACATTTCTTTTTACAAATGTAATGTTTCAATGGCATTCGTTGTTTGTGTTAATCCACGGAAGCCCTGAAGCCCAAGGGAAAACAAACAAATCAAATTTGAACGACTCAGTATCTTGTTTGAACGACATAGTAAAAACAATGTATACATCCAGCGCCTTCAGAAAGTATTCAGACCACTTGACTTTTTCCACATTTTGTAACATTACAGCCTTATTCTAAAATGGATTAAATCAATAAAAATCCTCAGCAATCTACACACGATACCCCATAATGACAAAGCGAAAACAGGTTATTAGACATTTTTGCAAATGTATTAAAAATAAAATACAGAAATATCTTATTTACCAAAGTATTCAGACCCTTTTCTATGAGACTCAAAATTGAGCTCAGGTGCATCCTGTTTCCATTGATCATCCTTGAGATGTTTCTACAACTTGACTGGAGTCCACCTGTGGTAAATTCAATTGATTGGACATGATTTGGAAAGGCACACACCTGTCTATATAAGGTCCCACAGTTGACACTGTATGTCAGAGCAAAAACCAAGCCATGAGGTAGAAGGAATTGTCCTTAGAGCTCAGAGACAGGATTGTGTCGAGGCACAGATCTGGGGAAGGATACCAAAAAATGTCTGCAGCATTGAAGATCCCAATGAACACAGTGGCCTCCATCATTCTTAAATGGAAGATGGACTCTTCCTAGAGCTGGCCGCCCGACCAAACTGAGCAATCGGGGGAGAAGGGCCTTGGTCAGGGAGGTGACCAAGAGCCCAATGGCCACTCTGACAGTGCTCCAGAGTTCCTCTGTGGAGATGGGAGAACCTTCCAGAAGGACAACCATCTCTGCAGCACTCCACCAATCAGGCCTTTATGGTAGAGTGGCCAGACGGAAGCCACTCCTCAGTAAAAGGCACATGACAGCCCGCTTGGAGTTTGCCAAAAGGCACCTAAATACTCTCAGACCATGAGAAACAAGATTCTTTGGTCTGATGAAACCAAGATTGAACTCTTTGGCCTGAATGCCAAGCGTCACGTCTGGAGGAAACCTGGCACCATCCCTACGGTGAAGCATGGTGGTGGCAGCATCATGCTGTGGGGATTTTCGTCAGCGAATGGGACTGGGAGACTAGTCAGGATTGAGGGAAAGATGAACGGAGCAAAGTAAAACCTGCTCCAGAGCGCTCAGGACCTCAGACTGGGGCGAAGGTTCACCTTCCAACAGGACAACAACCCTAAGTACACAGCCACGACAACACAGGAGTGGCTTCGGGACATGTCTCTGAATGTCCTTGAGTGGCCCAGCCAGAGCCCGGACTTGAACCTGATCGAACATCTCTGGAGAGACCTGAAAATAGCTGCGCAGCAACGCTCCCCATCCAACCTGACAGAGGTTGAGAGGATCTGCAGAGAAGAATGGGAGAAACTCCCCAAATACAGGTGTGCCAAGCTTGTAGCGTCATACTCAAGAAGACTCGATGCTGTAATTGCTGCCAAAGGTGCTTCAACAAAGTACTGAGTAAAGGGTTCGAATACTTATGTAAATGTCATATTTCAGTATTTTTCTTTTTAATAAATTAGCAAACATTTCTAAAAACCTGTTTTGCATTGTAATTATGGGGTATTGTGTGTAGATTGATGAGGGGGAAAAACAATTAATCAATTTGAGAATAAGGCTGTAACGTAACAAAATACTTTTCGAATGCACTGTATATATATATATATATACACTGAACAAAAATATAAACGCAACAATTTCAAAAATGTTACTGAGTTACAAGGAAATCAGTCAATTCAAATAAATTCATTAGGCCCTAATCTATGGATTCCATAAAACTGTCATCTTATAAAATGTGGAAAAAGTCAAGGGGTCTAAATACTTTTCTAAGGCACTGTCTATATATATCTATATATATATCTATCTATCTATATATATATATACAGTGGGGGAAAAAAGTATTTAGTCAGCCACCAATTGTGCAAGTTCTCCCACTTAAAAAGATGAGAGAGGTCTGTAATTTTCATCATAGGTACACGTCAACTATGACAGACAAAATGAGAAAAAAAAATCCAGAAAATCACATTGTAGGATTTTTAATGAATTTATTTGCAAATTATGGTGGAAAATAAGTATTTGGTCACCTACAAACAAGCAAGATTTCTGGCTCTCACAGACCTGTAACTTCTTCTTTAAGAGGCTCCTCTGTCCTCCACTCGTTACCTGTATTAATGGCACCTGTTTGAACTTGTTATCAGTATAAAAGACACCTGTCCACAACCTCAAACAGTCACACTCCAAACTCCACTATGGCCAAGACCAAAGAGCTGTCAAAGGACACCAGAAACAGAATTGTAGACCTGCACCAGGCTGGGAAGACTGAATCTGCAATAGGTAAGCAGCTTGGTTTGAAGAAAACAACTGTGGGAGCAATTATTAGGAAATGGAAGACATACAAGACCACTGATAATCTCCCTCGATCTGGGGCTCCACGCAAGATCTCACCCCGTGGGGTCAAAATGATCACAAGAACAGTGAGCAAAAATCCCAGAACCACACGGGGGGACCTAGTGAATGACCGGCAGAGAGCTGGGACCAAAGTAACAAAGCCTACCATCAGTAACACACTACGCCGCCAGGGACTCAAATCCTGCAGTGGGAGACGTGTCCCCCTGCTTAAGCCAGTACATGTCCAGGCCCGTCTGAAGTTTGCTAGAGTGCATTTGGATGATCCAGAAGAGGATTGGGAGAATGTCATATGGTCAGCTGAAACCAAAATATAACTTTTTGGTTAAAAAAACTCAACTCGTCGTGTTTGGAGGACAAAGAATGCTGAGTTCCATCCAAAGAACACCATACCTACTGTGAAGCATGGGGGTGGAAACATCATGCTTTGGGGCTGTTTTTCTGCAAAGGGACCAGGACGACTGATCCGTGTAAAGGAAAGAATGAATGGGGCCATGTTTTGTGAGATTTTGAGTGAAAACCTCCTTCCATCAGCAAGGGCATTGAAGATGAAACGTGGCTGGGTCTTTCAGCATGACAATGATCCCAAACACACCGCCCGGGCAACGAAGGAGTGGCTTCGTAAGAAGCATTTCAAGGTCCTGGAGTGGCCTAGCCAGTCTCCAGATCTCAACCCCATAGAAAATCTTTGGAGGGAGTTGAAAGTCCGTGTTGCCCAGCGACAGCCCCAAAACATCACTGCTCTAGAGGAGATCTGCATGAAAGAATGGGCCTAAATACCAGCAACAGTGTGTGGAAACCTTGTGAAGAGTTACAGAAAACGTTTGACCTGTGTCATTGCCAACAAAGGGTATATAACAAAGTCTTGAGAAACTTTTGTTATTGACCAAATACTTATTTTCCACCATAATTTGCAAATAAATTCATAAAAAATCCTACAATGTGATTTTCTGGATTTTTTTTTCTCATTTTGTCTGTCATAGTTGACGTGTACCTATGATGAAAATTACAGGCCTCTCTCATCTTTTTAAGTGGGAGAACTTGCACAATTGGTGGCTGACTAAATACTTTTTTCCCCCACTGTATATATATATGTATTTACTAAACGTTCAAACAAGATACTAAGTCGTTCAAACGAGATAATAAGTCGTTTGAATGACTGTCTAATTTGAACAACTTAATTGTTATTTTGTCTAATTAGGCCTCATTTGTTATGCAGTTTGTCAGACGCTCCTCTCCTCGCTCCACACTTATATATTCTGGCATTCAAAAGAAGCCCTGCTTTAGGCTATCAAAGACCTGTCACGTGAATAAATCTTATCAATGGATGGAATCAGTGAAATAATGGCTGCACCAACCATTACATGGTCTGACAAACTGCAAAACAAATTAGGCCTAATTGGTCAAAATAACAATTAAGTCGTTCAAGCGAGGATAATTAGTCATTCAAATGGCTTAGTGTCTCGATTGAACGACTTAGTAAAAAAAATATTCAAATCATTTTTTGTTTACTAAGTCTTTTGAACGAGATACTAAGTTATTCGAACAAGATACTAAGTCGTTCAAACGAGATAATTCAGGGCTTCCGTAGTTAATCTATTGATGTCTGAAAGCATCCTTACCTGATAAAATAAAATAACCTAATCAAATTCATTTCTATAACCAGACCTGAGTTCAAGTAGTATTTGTTTTCCTTTGTATAATACCTACTTTAAATCGGTTGATTGAGCCTACCTGGAGTGCCAGTTTCCACTTTTGGGACAATTTCATTGGTTTTCATTGCACCAGGCAAGCTATATCAAGCGTAGATACTGTCACGCCCTGATCTGTTTCACCTGTCTTGTGCTTGTCTCCACCCCCCACCAGGTGTCTCCACCCCCCACCAGGTGTCTCCTATTTCCCCCCATTATTCCCCTGTGTATTTATACCTGCGTTTTCTGTTTGTCTGTTGCCAGTTCAGTCAAGTCGTCCCAGCGTGTTTTTCTGTTTTTTTTCTCCTGTTCTCAAGTTTTGTTTTCTAGTCTTCCCGGTTTTGACCTTTCAGCCTGTCCTGACCCTGAGCCCGCCGTTCTGTCCCTGATTGACTCTGCCTTGGATTATGAACCTCTGCCTGCCCTCGACCTGCCCTTTGCCTGCCCTCGACCTGCCCTCGACCTGCCCTTTGCCTGCCCTCTGCCTGCCCTCGACCTGCCCTTTGCCTGCCCTCTGCCTGCCCTCTGCCTGCCCTCGACCTGCCCTCGACCTGCCCTTTGCCTGCCCTCGACCTGCCCTTTGCCTGCCCCCGTCCTCGACCTGCCCTTTGCCTGCCCCCTCGTTATAATAAATATTTGGAGAATCGTACTATCCGCCTCCTGTGTATCTGGGTCATATCCTGAGACATGAATAAAGCGGAGATACAGTATTTGAACCCAGGTCTGGTAACGACAGCAATATGACAGAAACAGTAGGCTGATCATAACACAGGAAATAGGCCGGGATTCAATCAGACAATGCAGCTTTTAAAGGCAATGTTCCTGTGTTCGCATTCACGGTAAATGCTGCATATGTCGGCTCAATCGGAAATTACCTTATAAATGTAAAGTGCGCTATAACGCGGATATCATTTAGATTGGATTGAATCTCGGCCCTAGATTGGGAGCACATTGATTGACCACCCACCCCAGCACTATACTCACACTCCCCCAAGCGCTCTTAGGCAATGTCCTGTGTCCAGATTCACGAATGCGCAGCGGCTATCAAATGACTAAGATGTAGGCAACGCGGTCTCCTATTCGATCCCGATTGGCTGGGGCCGTAGAGAAGGAGCAAGAAGACACCAAGAGGAGATCGACGAGAGGCGGTGGTCGGAAGATGCTGGATATGGAAGAGCGGGAGACTGGGGGCCCACTCCTCGAGATGGCGAGGGCGGCTGAGAAGGAGGAGAGAGACGAGGAGGGAGAGAGAGAGGGGGGGGAGAGAGAGAGGGAGAGAGAGAGGGGGGGAGGGAAGAGAGAGGAGGGGAGAGAGGAGGGGGAGAGAGAGGAGGGAGAGAGGAGAGAGAGGGAGAGGGGAGAGAGAGGGGGGGGAGAGAGGAGAGAGAGAGAGGAAGGGGAGGAGAGAGAGGAGAAGGGGAGAGAGAGGGAAGAGGGGAAGGAGAAGGGGAGAGAGAGGGGGAGAGAGGGGAGAAGAGGGGAAGGGGGGAGGAGAGGGGGAGAGAGAGAGAGGGAGAGAGAGGGAGAGGAGAGAGAGAGGAGAGAGAGGAAGAGGGGAGAGAGAGGAGAGAGGAGAGGGAGAGAGAGGGGAGAGAGGAGGGGAGAGAGAGGAGAGAGAGGAGAGGGGAGTATCGAGTAGATTGTAGAGATTACGTATGAGAGATAAGACGAAAAAGCTGATCTTTGTCGATTTTAGTCATTCTCGTGTAAGAAATATGGGCTCATTCCTTCGATTGCTGCTTCCATTCTAAAAACTAATATGAGTCTGATTGTGTTATTTAATAACCACCTCAATGATCAGCAGGCCTGTCAGTGGTGAGAATGAGACTGGAAGACTGCAGAGAGATGGGTGGATGAGACAGATAGACATGTGCTGACGACGACTGCGAGGAGTTGGTGGGACTGAGACAGTGACCTGATGTACTACTTAGGCAGAAGTGGCTGGATTCGAATAGCATATTGACAAATGACGACTGTGTGTGGCGTACGTCCTAGACATAATATTTAACGATGTAAAAATGAAGACCGAAAAAATGTATACTGTCGTTTTCATGTCATTTCTCATTGAGATAATATTGGGCCAATTTCCCTTTCGAATGCTGACGTAAAAATCTAAAAAACAAAGTATATGAAATTCTGTTGTTTATTTAATAACCACACTCACACTGATCCAAGCCATGGGCTCACTGTCAGATGGTGAGCAAATAGAGACTGGAGAAGACTGGCAGAGACAGGAAGTTGGGCTGGGGACTGTGAGACAGATAGACACATGATGCTGACAGACTGACTGACAGAGACAGGAAGTTGGGCTGGGGACTGTGAGACAGATAGACACATGATGCTGACAGACTGACTGACAGAGACAGGAAGTTGGGCTGGGGACTGTGAGACAGATAGACACATGATGCTGACAGACTGACTGACAGAGACAGGAAGTTGGGCTGGGGACTGTGAGACAGATACAGTGCATTCGGAAAGTATTCAGACCCCTTGACTTTTTCCACATTTTGTTACATTACAGCCTTATTCTAAAATGGATTAAATTGTTTTTTCCCCCTCATCAATCTACACACAATACCCCATAATGACAAAGCAAAAACAGGTTTTTAGAAATGTTTTGCTAATTTATAAAAAATAAAAACTTAAATATGACATTTACATAAGTATTCAAACCCTTTACTCAGTACTTTGTTGAAGCATCCTTTGGCAGCGATTACAGTCTCGAGTCTTCTTGGGTATGACGCTACAAGCTTGGCACACCTGTATTTGGGGAGTTTCTCCCATTGTTCTCTGCAGATCCTCTCAAGCTCTGTCAGGTTGGATGGGGAACGTCGCTGCACAGCTATTTTCAGGTCTCTCCAGAGATGTTCGATCGGGTTCAAGTCCGGGCTCTGGCTGGGCCACTCAAGGACATTCAGAGACTTGTCCCGAAGCCACTCCTGTGTTGTCTTGGCTGTGTGCTTAGGGTCATTGTCCTGTTGGAAGGTGAACCTTCGCTCCAGTCTAAGGTCCTGAGCGCTCTGGAGCAGGTTTTCATCAAGGATCTCTCTGTACTTTGCTCAGTTCATCTTTCCCTCGATCCTGACTAGTCTCCCAGTCTCTGCCGCTGAAAAACATCCCCACAGCATGATGCTGCCACCACCATGCTTCACCGTAGGGATGGTGCCAGGTTTCGTCCAGATGTGACGCTTGGCATTCAGACCAGAGAATCTTGTTTCTCATGGTCTGAGAGTCCTTTAGGTGCCTTTTGGCAAACTCCAAGCGGGCTGTCATGTGCCTTTTACTGAGGAGTGGCTGAGGAGTGGCCTTTTACTGAGGAGTCTGGCCACTCTACCATAAAGGCCTGATTGGTGGAGTGCTGCAGAGATGGTTGTCCTTCTGGAAGGTTCTGCCATTTCAGCAGAGGAACTCTAGAGCTCTGTCAGAGAGACCATTGGGTTCTTGGTCACCTCCCTGACCAAGGCCCTTCTCCCCCAATTATTCAGTTTGGCCGGGCGGCCAGCTCTAGGAAGAGTCCTGGTGGTTTCTAACTTCTTCCATTTAAGAATGATGGAGGCCACTGTGTTCATGGGGAACTTCAATGCTGCAGAATATTTTGGTACCCTTCCCCAGATCTGTGCCTCGACACAATCCTGTCTCTGAGCTCTACGGACAATTCCTTTGACCTCATGGCTTGGTTTTTGCTCTGACATACACTGTCAACTGTGGGACCTTATATAGACAGGTGTGTGGTTTTCCAAATCATGTCCAATCAATTGAATTTACCACAGTTGGACTCCAATCAAGTTGTAGAAACATCTCAAGGATGATCAATTTCGAGTCTCATAGCAAAGGGTCTGAATACTTATGTAAATAAGGTCTGAAAACCAGTTTTCACTTCGTCATTATGGGGTGCTGTGTGTTGATTGATTTTATTTAATCAATTTTAGAATAAGTCTGTAACGTAGCAACATGTAGAACAAGAAAAAAAGGGAAGAGGTCTGGATCCTGATACAGTGAGGGAAAAAAGTATTTGATCCCCTGCTGATTTTGTACGTTTGCCCACTGACGAATAAATTATCAGTCTATAATTCTAATGGTAGGTTTATTTGAACAGTGAGAGACAGAATAACAACAACAAAATCCATACAAACGCATGTCAAAAATGTTATAAATTGATTTGCATTTTAATGAGGGAAATAAGTATATGACCCCCTCTCAATCAGAAAGATTTCTGGCTCCCAGGTGTCTTTTATACAGGTAACGAGCTGTGATTAGGAGCACACTCTTAAAGGGAGTGCTCCTAATCTCAGTTTGTTACCTGTATAAAAGACACCTGTCCACAGAAGCAATCAATCAATCAGATTCCAAACTCTCCACCATGGCCAAAACCAAAGAGCTCTCCAAGGATGTCAGGGACAAGATTGTAGACCTACACATGGCTGGAATGGGCTACAAGACCATCGCCAAGTAGCTTGGTGAGAAGGTGACAACAGTTGGTGCGATTATTCGCAAATGGAAGAAACACAAAATAACTGTCAATCTCCCTCGGCCTGGGGCTCCATGCAAGATCTCACCTCGTGGAGTTGCATTGATCATGAGAACGGTGAGGAATCAGCCCAGAACTAAACGGGAGGATCTTGTCAATGATCTCAAGGCAGCTGGGACCATAGTCACCAAGAAAACAATTGGTAAAATACTATGCCGTGAAGGACTGAAATCCTGCAGCGCCCGCAAGGTCCCCCTGCTCAAGAAAGCACATATACAGGCCCGTCGGAAGTTTGCCAATGAACATCTGAATGATTCAGAGGAGAACTGGGTGAAAGTGTTGTGGTCAGATGAGACCAAAATCGAGCTCTTTGGCATCAACTCAACTCGCCGTGTTTGGAGGAGGAGGAATGCTGCCTATGACCCCAAGAACACCATCCCCACCGTCAAACATGGAGGTGGAAACATTATGCTTTGGGGGTGTTTTTCTGCTAAGGGGACAGGACAACTTCACCGCATCAAAGGGACGATGGACGGAGCCATGTACCGTCAAATTTTGGGTGATTTCCCTCAGCCAGGGCATTGAAAATGGGTCGTGGATGGGTATTCCAGCATGACAATGACCCAAAACACATGGCCAAGGCAACAAAGGAGTGGCTCAAGAAGAAGCACATTAAGGTCCTGGAGTGGCCTAGCCAGTCTCCAGACCTTAATCCCATAGAAAATCTGTGGAGGGAGCTGAAGGTTCGAGTTGCCAAACGTCAGGCTCGAAACCTTGGAGAAAATGACTTGGAGAAGATCTGCAAATAGGTGTGGGACAAAATCCCTCTTGAGATGTGTGCACACCTGTTGGCCAACTACAAGAAACGTCTGACCTCTGTGATTGCCAACAAGGGTTTTGCCACCAAGTACTAAGTCATGTTTTGCAGAGGGGTCAAATACTTATTTCTCTCATTAAAATGCAAATCAATTTATAACATTTTTGACATGCATTTTTATGGATTTTTGTTGTTGTTATTCTGTCTCACTGTTCAAATAAACCTACCATTAAAATTATAGACTGATCATGTCTTTGTCAGTGGGCAAACGTACAAAATCAGCAGGGGATCAAATACTTTTTTCCCTCACTGTACATGATGGCTGACAGAGACAGGAAGTTGGGCTGTGGACGGGGGATACAGATAGATACATGATGCTGACAGACACAGGAAGTTGGGCTGTGGACGGGGAGACAGATAGATACATGATGCTGACAGACACAGGAAGTTGGGCTGTGGACGGGGAGACAGATAGATACATGATGCTGACAGAGACAGGAAGTTGGGCTGTGGAAGGGGAGACAGATAGATACATGATGCTGACAGAGACAGGAAGTTGGGCTGTGGACGGGGAGACAGATAGATACATGATGCTGACAGACACAGGAAGTTGGGCTGTGGACGGGGAGACAGATAGATACATGATGCTGACAGACACAGGAAGTTGGGCTGTGGACGGGGAGACAGATAGATACATGATGCTGACAGAGACAGGAAGTTGGGCTGTGGAAGGGGAGACAGATAGATACATGATGCTGACAGAGACAGGAAGTTGGGCTGTGGACGGGGAGACAGATAGATACATGATGCTGACAGACACAGGAAGTTGGGCTGTGGACGGGGAGACAGATAGATACATGATGCTGACAGGGACAGGAAGTTGGGCTGTGGACGGGGAGACAGATAGATACATGATGCTGACAGAGACAGGAAGTTGGGCTGTGGACGGGGGATACAGATAGATACATGATGCTGACAGACACAGGAAGTTGGGCTGTGGACGGGGAGACAGATAGATACATGATGCTGACAGAGACAGGAAGTTGGGCTGTGGACGGGGAGACAGATAGATACATGATGCTGACAGAGACAGGAAGTTGGGCTGTGGACGGGGGAGACAGATAGATACATGATGCTGACAGAGACAGGAAGTTGGGCTGTGGACGGGGAGACAGATAGATGCATGATGTTGACAGAATGAAGGACAGAGACAGGAAGTTGGGCTGTGGACGGGGAAGACAGATAGATACACGATGTTGACAGACAGACAGACAGAGACAGGAAGTTGAACTAACTCACCACTGGATGATCAGCCTCGATCCTGTTCTCTATCTCCCTGAGTAGAAACCAACAGACAGCAGTCACCACGGTGACACTAGCAGAGTTGACATCATCCGGACCATCAGCCTACACAGAGTTGACATCATCTGGACCATCAGCCTATACAGAGTTGACATCATCTGGACCATCAGTCTACACAGAGTTGACATCATCTGGACCATCAGCCTACACAGAGTTGACGTCATCTGGAACCATCAGCCTACACAGAGTTGACGTCATCTGGAACCATCAGCCTACACAGAGTTGACGTCATCTGGAACCATCAGCCTACACAGAGTTGACGTCATCTGGACCATCAGCCTACACAGAGTTGACATCATCTGGACCATCAGCCTACACAGAGTTGACATCATCTGGACCATCAGCCTACACAGAGTTGACGTCATCTGGACCATCAGCCTACACAGAGTTGACATAATCTGGACCATCAGCCTACACAGAGTTGACATCATCTGGACCATCAGCCTACACAGAGTTGACATCATCTGGACCATCAGCCTACACAGAGTTGACATCATCTGGACCATCAGCCTACACAGAGTTGACATCATCTGGACCATCAGCCTACACAGAGTTGACGTCATCTGGAACCATCAGCCTACACAGAGTTGACGTCATCTGGAACCATCAGCCTACACAGAGTTGACGTCATCTGGACCATCAGCCTACACAGAGTTGACATCATCTGGACCATCAGCCTACACAGAGTTGACATCATCTGGACCATCAGCCTACACAGAGTTGACGTCATCTGGAACCATCAGCCTACACAGAGTTGACGTCATCTGGAACCATCAGCCTACACAGAGTTTACATCATCTGGACTATAAACCTACACAGAGTTGACATCATCTGGACTATAAACCTACACAGAGTTGACATCATCTGGACTATAAGCCTACACATTTTCTTACAAAGAACCAAACACTGCAACATCCTAATTACACATTTTTTCATCACATTTCCAATCTCCAGCTATTCCTAAATGTCTATACAGTATATCTCTGAATACTGTTACGAACTGTAATTTTGCAACATCAATCATATGGAATTATACTGCAAATTTTTCTTAAAACTGACACAATTCTAAAGGCTTATGGTCCCTTAGTATTGAGTTGAATGACAGTTATTCCTGTACCACACTCGAGCTGGAAGAAAATATGTTAATTTATCAGCTGTTATTAATTTCATAAAGAGATGTTTGAATATTCTTCCTCTTCTTCACAACTTGTTTTCTTTCTTGCCAAACGTCTAATTTAGGGGTTATTGACTGGGTACCCTTGTGGGCAGTTTCCCCTTCTCTCTGGCCTCTTAGTTTCAGTACTGTACATTTGTATTTGTATTTATTATGGATCCCTATTAGTTCCTGCCAAGGCAGCAGCTACTCTTCCTGGGGTCCGGCAAAATTAAGGCAGTTATACAATTTCAAAAACATTACAATACATTCATAACAGAATTCACAACACACTAAGTGTGTGACCTCAGGCCCCTACTCCACTACCACACATATACAACACAACATCCATGTGTACGTGTGTATAGAGTGTATGTTATCGTGTGTGTGTATGCATGTGTCTGTGTCTATGTGTGTGTCTCTTCACAGTCCCCGCTGTTCCATAAGGTGTATTTTAATCTGTTTTTAAATAAATCTGATTCTACTGATTGCATCAGTTACCTGATGTGGAATAGAGTTCCATGTAGTCATGGCTCTATGTAGTATTGTGCACCTCCCATAGTCTGTTCTGGACTTGGGGACTGTGAAGAGTCTTGTGGGGTATGCATGGGTGTCTGAGCTGTGTGCTAGTCGTTTAAACAGACATCTCGGTGCTTTCAACATGTCAATACCTCTCACAAATACAAGTAGTGATGAAGTCAATCTCTCCTCCACTTTGAGCCAGGAGAGATTGACATGCATATTATTAATGTTAGCTCTCTGTGTACATCCAAGGGCCGGCCGTGCTGCCCTGTTCTGAGTCCCTCTTTGTGTCACCTGACCACACGACTGAACAGTCGTCCAGGTGGGACAAAACTAGGGCCTGTAGGACCTGCCTTGTTGATAGTGCTGTTAAGAAAGCAGAGCAGCGCTTTATTATGGACAGACTTCTCCCCATCTTAGCTACTGTTGTATCAATATGTTTTGACCATGACAGTTTACAATCCAGGGTTACTTCCAAGCAGTTTAGTCACCTCAACTTGAACAATTTCCACATTATTCATTAAAATATTTAGTTGAGGTTTAGGGTTTAGTGAATGATTTGACCCAAATACAATACTTTTAGTTTTTGAAATATTTAGGACTAACTTATTCCTTGCCACCCATTGTGAAACTAACTGCAGCTCTTTGTTAAGTGTTGCAGTCATTTCAGTCGCTGTGGTGGCTGACGTGTATAGTGTTGAGTCATCCGCATACATAGACACACAGGCTTTACTCAAAGCCAGTGGCATGTCGTTAGTAAAGATTGAAAAAAGCAATGGGCCTAGACAGCTGCCCTGGGGAATTCCTGATTCTACCTGGATTATGTTGGAGAGGCTTCCATTAAAGAACACTCTCTGTGTTCTGTTAGACAGGTAACTCTTTATCCACAATATGGCAGGGGGTGTAAGGGAAAGGGGGATACCTAGTCAGTTGTACAACTGAATGCATTCAACTTAAATGTGTCTTCCGCATTTAACCCAACCCCTCTGAATCAGAGCGGTGTTGGGGGCTGCTTTAATCCACATCCACGTCATACGTTTTTCCAGCAGCAGACCACGATTGATAATGTCAAAAGCCGCACTGAAGTCTAACAAAACAGCCCCCACAATCTTTTTATCATCAATTTCTCTCAGCCAATCATCAGTCATTTGTGTAAGTGCTGTGCTTGTTGAATGTCCTTCCCTATAAGCGTGCTGAAAGTCTGTCGTCAATTTGTTTACTGTAAAATAGCATTGTATCTGGTCAAACACAATTCTTTCCAATAGTTTACTAAGGGTTGGTAACAGGCTGATTGGTCGGCTGTTTGAGCCAGTAAAGGGGGCTTTACTATTCTTAGGTAACGGAATTACTTTTGCTTCCCTCCAGGCCTGAGGACACACACTTTCTAGTTGGCTTAGATTGAAGATATGGCAAATACTGTAGGTTAGAAAATGCTCAGGTCATATCTGCTCTGGAGGAGCATTAGGCCCAGACCAGGTCTGTCTGGCCGATACGTCTCCAACAGGCTTCTCACCACAGGCTAGATACGGCAGACAATACCTAGAAAACCTGATTATATCACCTACTGTACACCCTGACGTTTCCTTAAAAACAAATGGACGAAAACAGTGACTCCCACTGAGATTAAATAAAAGACAGACTTTGTTATCTTAAAACTCATAGGGCTGGTTTTCTGAACACAGATTAAGCCTAATCCCGGATTCAAAAAAAACATTTTCAAACGGGATTCTCTATTGATTTTTGCTTCTTAGCCCAGGACTAGACATAATCTTTGTCCGGGAAACCCGCCCATAATCAAGTCGGTCACATGTCTTTACAGCTTCTTCAGATTTCAGCTTTTTCTCTTCCACCAGAGCTAGGAGCTCTTGTTTTCTAGGGTGGAGGTTGTTTCGGGATGTTTGAAGGCAGATCAGGAGGTTTATTTTAATACTGAAATAAAATGTTTACCGGAGCATGCCCAAATCTGAAGTCGCTTGTCCTAAAAAAGACTCCATAACAGCTTCGAACTGGGGCCGATTCCTTCCAGCTCTACAAATCAAATTGCCGTTAAAATAGTTTGTCCTGGGTGGTCTGACCCCCCCCCCCCCCCATAACCCCAACCAGCACCCCCTCCCCGAAGGGGACACTCTAACCTGACAACAACACAACCTAACAACAACTCAACACACACCCACTCACCCACACTGCTTAACCCATCATAGACATTGGGTCATGTCATGTAAAACACCTGAGAAGCTGCCAACCCCATACTATTACTAAGATTGTAATTAAGTTACTATAATGGAATATATTCATCAGTATTTGCAAATCTATATATAGTTAACCAGTGACCAAGGAAGTGTGAAACGTAGCCCGGGATTCAAACAAATGCAGATAAGCGGCCTGTGCACTGCGATTTGACTTTTTAAAGGTGATATACTCTTTAAAACAACGGCATCCACTGTGTTTACAGTGACAACAACGTGATCACAGCAAAAACGCCTGGTAAAATTGCTTTAAAAAGTATATTGCAGTGCACAGGCCATTTATCTGCGTTTTGTTTGAACCCCAGACTGTTAATAAACCTCTTTGACACTCCACTGTGGCCTTGCATTGCTTTTCCCAGGGGGACTCGACATATTCCCATATTCCCTCTGCGCTCCACCACCATCCTGCTCTCTCACTCACTCGGAGGTGTTCCTCTTTTCGGAGAAGACTCTGAGGATGAACTCTCCCTCCTGGTGAGGCTCGTAGGTGGAAGGGATGATGACGTACTCCCCGGGGCTCAGACGGAAGCGCTGGGTCACCTCCCTCAGGTTGATGTAGGACTTGCAGCGAGCCTTGGACGAGTTGAACAGGAAGAAGTCCTTCTGCATGTGCTGCTTGTTGCCGTGCATCTGGTCACAGAAACACGCAGACGGAGGAGGAGAAAGATTGGGAATGAAAAGTATTGAATTAGTCATTGTTGTCATACTATTAATCATAGAAACTTTCATAGTAAAAAACCCACAATGTGAAAAACTAAACCCATTCCACATCTCCTGTCCTTACCTCCTTTGGCACCTGCAGACAGACAGAGAGAAGAATGAGTTGTGTTTGCACCAGAAACAGATCTGAATTGATTTGATTTGAATTGAAACAACAGAATTGATTTGCACCAGAAACAAGATCAGCAAACACAGCTAAAAACAAAACTGTGTTTCCAACAGAATGCAGCATGTATACAACGTGTGTCGCCAACATATTGTGGCTAAGGGGTCATCTGCAACTGGTACAGACATTATTTTAGACTTTTTCAACTAACAACTACCCCCTTTAAAGAATAATACAAGTCGTTTAAGATCTTTTTTTTTTTTTTTGTGTGTGACGGCTGACAGGGGGACACCTCGTAGATGGCAAATCCGATGGTAAAGAGATTGGCTCCCATCTTCCTCTCCTTCCGTCTGTTCTTCTGCATCAGAGCGATCACGAAGGAACACGCCACCTCGTTGTCCTCTGGGTCATCGTCCTCCTCCAGGAGACGCAAGCGGTACTGAGGGTTGGTCCAGAATGTATCTGCAGGTAGGGGGTTCAGAACCAAACACGACACATCACTGTGTGTAGCCTCGGTCCAGAACCTGCAGAACTTAATCTGCAGAACCTAATCCTTGTGGATAGACTAACATAAATAGAGGTAGAACCAAACACGCCACATCACTCAATGGACATTGTCTACTTTTTCTTTCAAATACTTTGGGAACATTTGATTGAGCCTGGCCAGAGTGCCAGGTGGGGGAGATTTGCAGTGCAATTGACCCTTCGCTAATGGCTGCCCCCCCCCCCCCCCCCCCTACTTTTTTGAAAGAAAAAAACTCAAAACGTGAGCTTGTCCGAGGTGTCGGACTCGACGACAGTTGCTATCCATTGGAGCGGTGAGATTGTTTGGCTAAAATTCTGGGGCGGGGCTTAGCAAAGGGTCAATTGTAGGACTACCCCATTTGTTCCATTGCATCAGGCAAGCTCTATCAACCTACAGTATAGGGTTAGAGGTCAGGGGTCATCTCCTACCTGGGTAGTTTTCCTAACAGCCCCCGGCGGAGCAGCCTCTGACCCGCGACCTCGTTCCACAGACACCGTCCACTTGTGGATCTTATCATCCTCCAGGGCATCAGGGGGCAGGGTTTGCAGATCTCAATCTTTGTGTAGTCTTCTTTAAGTCCTCAAAAGGGCATCCTGGGGAGACGGGGGGGAGAGGGAGACAGAAAGGGAGAGGGAGCGAGGAGAGGGAGACAGAGGAGAGGGAGACAGAGGAGAGGGAGACAGAGGAGAGGGAGTCAGAGGAGAGGGAGACAGAGGAGAGGGAGACGAGAGGAAAAGGAGAGGGGACAGAGAGAGGGAGCAGAGGAGAGGGAGAAGAGAGAGGGGGGACAAGGGGAAGGGAGGAGAAGGAGAGGACAGAGGAGAGGGAGACGAGAGGAGAGGGAGACAGAGGAGAGGAGAGGGAGAGGAGACAGGAGGAAAGGGAGAGGGACGAGTGGAGACCCGAGGAAGGGAGGCAGAGGAGGGAGGAGAGGGAGACAGAGGAGAGGAGAGGGGAGGATGAAGAGATAAGAAGGGTAGGCAGAGGAGAAGGTAAAGGGCAGGATAAAGGAGGGAGGGAGAGAAGGGGGGGAGACAAGGGGAGGAGCTAGGACGAGACAGAGGGAGAAAGGAGAGGGCCGGGGCGAAGACGAGGAGTAAGGAGAGGGAGACAGAGGAGAAGGGGAGACAGAAGAAAGGGAAGAGGAGAAGGGAGGGGAAAGAGAAGAGGAGAGGGAGAGGAAAGAGTAAGGGACAAGAAAGGAGGGAGAGGAGAGGGGAGGGAGAGAGAGGGAGAAGAGGAGAGAGAAAGGGAAGGGAAAATAAGGAGGGGAGAGGAGAGGGAGAGAGGAAAGGGGGGAGGTAGAGAAAGAGGAGTAGGGGGGGGTGAAGGGAGAGGTAGAGGGAGGGGCAGTTAATCAGGGGCAGGCGTTGTTAAGGCTAGTCATTAGAGGGCAAAAAGGAGAGGGATAAAATTTTTTGGTGCGGGGGTCGGGCCTCCATTGTGGTTTGGTGCCGGGGGGTGCGGGTTTCCCCAGGGTGTTGGCCGCTCCCCTTTGTTTACACTTTTTTGGGGTTTCAAAATGGCACGCTCCACTTGATAGTTTGTAATAAAAGGTATTTTGGTGCAGGGTTCAAGGAGGTCAAGAATTGGCACGCCCACTTGATAGTTTGTAATCAAAGGTCTTTTGGTGCAGGGTTCAAGGAGGTCCCAAAAATTGGGGCATCTCCATTTGATAGTCTGTAATAAAAGGTATTTGGGGCAGGGTTCAAGGAGGGTCAGAATTGGCAGCCCATTGATAGTTGTAATAAAAGGGGGTTTTTTGGTGCAGGGTTAAAGGGGTCAAGATTGGCAGCCCCACTTATATTTGTAATCAAAGGTATTTTGGTGCAGGGTTCAAGGAGGGTCAAGAATTGGCACGCCCCACTTGATAGTTTGTAAAAAAAGGTTTTTTGGGGTGCGGGTTCAAAGGATAAAACTGGAAAAGGAAAATCCACAGTCGCTGAAATAGTCTGTACATCTTAATGTTCTTTAGCAGCAGAATAACTTGTTGCATTTTTAGACTATTTCATGAGGTGGTTTCCCTTTTTCCCATTTGAGAGAGGGGGGACTGTAACAGGGGTAAGAAAATAACTGAAGCATCAAGAGCACTATAGACATTGGAAAAGAAAAAACAACCACCAAACTCCCCGTCCTCAGCACTCTGATGCTGGAGCTTGTCCTTCTCCCCCTTAGACGAGAAAAAAAAACCCCCCCTTGGGAGCTTGGACAGGGGAAACCAACATCAAAAACATCTCACCCCTTTAAGCGGGGTGGACGGGAGGAACAACATCAACAACATCATCACTCCTCAACGGGGGCAGTGGGGAACAACTTAAACAACATACCTCCTTAGAGCGGGGGACGGGGGGAAAAACATCAACAACTCATCACCCCTTTAATTTTGTGGGGTGGGGAAAAACCATAACAAAATCATCACTCCTCAAGCTGTGGCGGAGGGAAAAAACATCAACAAAAATCATCACCCTTAGAGTGTGGGCATGGGGAAAACATCATCACTCCTCGAGCTGTGGAGGGGGGGAACAACACAACAACATCTCACCCCTTGAGCTGTGGACAGGAGGGAAAAACTCAACAAACATCATTCCTCCTTAGAGCGTGGACGGGGGGGAACAACATAAAACAACATCATCCCCCTTAGACTGTGGGCTGGGAACAACATCAAAAACATCATCACCCTTAGAGTTTGGGGCAGGGGGAACAACATCAAAAAAACATCATCACTCCTTAGGGCTGTGACGGGGGGGAAAAAACATCAAAAAAACCCCAAAATCATCACTCTTAGACTGGGACAGGAGGAACAACATCAAAAAACACTCACCCCTTAGAGCTGTGGGACGGAGGGAAACACATCAACAACTCATACTCTTAGGAGCTGTGGTTTTTTTTAAACAACTCAACAACAATCACACTCCTTAACTGGGGGCTGGGGAACAACATCAAAAACATATCACCCTTAACGGGGGCAGTGGGAACAACACCCAACAAAATCATCACCCTTAGAGCTTGGACGGGGGGGAACAACATAAAAAAAAATCATCACTCCTCAGAGTGGGGAAACAGGGGGAAAACAACATCAACAACATCTCACCCTTTAGAGCTGTGGACGGGAGGGAACAAAAAAAATCAACAAAAAAATCATCACTCCTTAGAGCTGGGGGCGGGAGGGAAACAACATCAACAACATCATCCCCCTTTAAGCTGGGGGCGGGAGGAACAACATCAACAAAATCATCACTCCTTAACTGGGGAAGGAGGAACAACTCAAAAAAAAAAAAAATCATCACTTCCTTAGGCTGGGGCAGGGGGGGAAAACAACCCCCAACAACTCATCACTCCTTTTAAGCTTGGACAAAACAAAAATCAAACATCATCCCCCCTTTTGGGCCCTGTGGACGGGGGGGAAAACAACACAACAACATCTCACCCCTTAGAGTTGGGGGACGGGGGGAAAAACTCAACAACATAAAAGGGAATAATATGATACGGGAATTCTTGACAGGGGAATAAATATAATTAATAAATATAATGTAAGTAATTAATTAATAATGTAAAAAATTTAAATTAAAATGAAATGAAATACAAAAAATTCAATTGTTTTAATAAAATTTAATGTAAGTAATAAATAAAATATAATGAAATACTATAATATTAATAATAATTAATTATATAAAAAAATATAAAAAATGAAATATATTAAATGAAACTTTCCCCCTCGCCTCAATTTGTTCGCTTTTTTTACTACTCATTATTTTTTTTTTTTGTGCTAAAGGGCTAAATTTAATACATTTTGTCTTTAATAAATTGATAATTTTGAAAAATGTGATAAATAATAACGTGCAAAAATTGCAATTTTGGGCTAAATGTCAAAATTGATTTTTGATATAAAATTCTGATTAAAAAGTTTTGATGTGTTTGGTCAAAAGCAATTAGTGGAAAAAAATATCAAATTTGGGCCCCCTTGTAAACGCACCCTTTGTTTTGGGAATGCTACAGGACATCGGAAAGCCCCCTGTGTCTATCACTGGTGCCATTCAATCCCCCACCAGTCAAAATCATCAGGCGTATCGCTTGTCACTCCAGGGGGGGCCCCCCCTTTCCCCTCCACCCGTCCCCGGGGTTCCCGGGGGAACCCGACCGCCCCCTTAGACTCTTTTTGAAGGGATCTTACACTGAGGAAAAAACACCTCCATTAAAAATACAACGGCAACAAAAAACTGGCTGCTTGAGTCGCTTTGGGACAGTAAAAAAAAATTAAAATGGCCTCAGTCTCCAAAAAAAAAACCCATACACATGGGCACCTAAAAATGTATTATTCATGGTCTATCTAATAAATTGTGACTCATGTCTATTATCTAATATGTAGTGTACTCAGGGCATCTATCAATAATGTATGCATCTCTGGCTATCTAAAAATGTGTGTATTTTTGGTCTATCATCTAATAATGTATCATTCATCGTCTATCTAATAATGTAGTGTATTAGGTCTATTATTAAAAATTGGGGCATTCCATGTTTCAATATGTTATTTATCTCAGGTCTATCTATCTATAATGTGTGTATCTCATGGTTTTTAATAAGGGAGTGTATCTCATGGTCATCTAAAAATTATGTATCTCATGGTCTATCTAAAGTATTTCACTAATGGTCATCTATCTAAAAATGTGTGTATCTCTTTTTATCATTTAAAAATAAAGTGTACTCATGGTCTATCTAATAATGTGTGTATTCAGGTTATCTAAAAGTAGGGATCTATGGTCATCTATCTAAAATGTAGGGTTTTCTGGTCTATCTACTTAATTAGTGCCCCCATGGACTATAATGTAGTGCATCTCAGGTCTATCTACTAATAATTTTGTATTCGGGGCTTTTAATAAAGTTTGGGATCTCATGGTCTTTATCTTAAATGTAGTGCATTCATGGTCATCTATCTAATAATTATGTATCTCATGGGCTATCTAATAATGTAGTATCTCATGGTCTTCTAATAATGTAGTGTATCTCATGGGCTATTATCTAATAATTAGTGCATCTCATGGGCTATCTAATAATGTGTGATCTCGGTCACTTTAATATGTATGTATCTCATGGTTATCTATCTAAAAAGTGTGTTTATGATTAATATCTAATAAGTATTTCTCATGGTTTCTACTAATAATGTGTGCATTCAGGCTATCTAAAAATGTAGTGCCTCATGGGGTATTTTATCTAATAATTATGTATTCATGGTCTCTTAAAAATGTATTTTCATCTCATGGTATTCTAAAGATGTATGCATCTCAGGTCTATCTATCTAATAATGTAGTGTATCTAGGTCTATCTAATAATGTAGTGATCCATGGTCTATCATCTAATAATGTAGTGTATCTCATGTTCTCTAATAATTTTTGATTCATGGTCTCTCTAATAATGTAGGGAATCATACTACATCAAAAAATGTAGTGTATCTCATGGTCTATCTAAAAGTAGTGCATCTCTGGTCATCTATCTAATAAAGTGGGTATTCATGGTCAAATTTTAAAAATTTGTGCATTCATGGCTTTTATCTATAAAGTAGTGCATCTCATGGCTATTATCTAATAAAGTATGTAATTCAGGTCCCTCTAAAAGGTTTGTGCTCTAGTCTTCTACTATAAAGTAGGTATTCTGATCTATCTTTTAATAATGTTGTATCTCATGGTCTATCTATCTAATAAAGTATGTACTCAGGTCTCTCTAATAGTAGTGCTCTCATGGTCTACTTCTAATAAGTAGGTTCTCATGATCTATCTATCTAATAAGTAGTGCATCTCATGGTCTATCTAAAAATGTAGTGTTCTCATGTCTACTAATAAAGTAAATGTAAACTCATGGCATCTTCTAATAAGAGTGTATATATGGGCTATTAATAATGTAGTGTACTAGGTCTAACTAATAATGTAGTGTATCTCAGGTCATCTAATAAAATTGGTACTCATGGGCTACTAATAATGTAGGATTCATGATCTTCATTAAAAAAGTGTGATCCAATTTTCCCATCTAATAAGTAGTGCATCTCATGGGCATCTAATGTGTGTATCTCATGGTCATCTATTAATAAGTGTGTATCCATGGTCTTTAAAAATGTAGTGATCCAGGGCACTAATAATGTAGTGATCTCATGGTCTATCTAATAAAGTATGTATCTCTGATCTATCTATCTAAAAATGTGTGATCTATGGTCATCTATTAATAAGTAGTTATCTCTGGTCTCTCTAAAAATGTAGGCCTCTCTGGCTTCTATCTAAAGATGTAGTGCACTCATGGTTTACTATCTAAAAATGATGTATCTCATATCTTTAAAATTGTGTATTCAGGTCTACTATCTAAAATTTGTGTATCCATGGTCTCTCTATCTAAAAATGTAGTGCATCTCATGGTCTATCAAAAATTATTTTTTATCTCATGGTCTACTATCTAATAAAGTAGTGCATCTCATGGTCTATCTATCTAATAATGTAGTGTAATCTCATGGTCTATCTATCTAAAATGTAGTGCATCTCATGGTCTATCTAATAATGTAGTGTATCTCATGGTCTATCTATCTAATAATGTAGTGCATCTCATGGTCTATTATCTAATAATGTAGTGTTATCTCATGGTTCTATCTATCTAATATGTAGTGTATCTCATGGTCTCTCTAATAATGTAGTGCATCTCATGGTCTATCTATCTAATGATGTAGTGCATTCATGGTCTATCTATCTAATAATGTAGTGTATCTCATGGTCTATCTAATAATGTAGTGTATCATCATGGATCTATCCATATGTAGTGTATCTCATGGTCTATCTAATAATGTAGTGTATCTCATGGTCTATCTAATAATGTAGTGCATCTCATGGTCTATCTATCTAATAATGTAGTGTATCTCATGGTCTATCTATCTAATAATGTAGTGTATATACAGCAATCACAAGATAATAAATAAATAAATGCCATTTACTAGACGCTTCTGTCCAAAGCGACTTAGTTATGCGTGAATACATTTTACATATATGTGCGGCCCCTAGCGGGAATCCAACCCACGACCACTGTTACTATAGTTCTATCTCACCTCGTTAACGGCAGTCACAGAGTAGGCGTGGCCCTTCACAAGGCCGGTCACTGTACGGGTCTCAAAGCGAGCAGGAACCAGGGACTGGGGAATGGAATAGACATCAACACATGAATCACATAGCTGGTCCTCACTGTACCAGCCACAACAGCATCCGCTGAGAGGCCATTTCTGTCATTTCCTGCGCTGAAACGGATAAGACATACAATCTAAACTGGACTTTGTTTTTAAGTAAACATCAGAGCCAGTGTTTATCTACAGCAGCGCCGTCTACTATTATTACATTACATGTCTATTGTGGAAGTATACACTCACCGGACAGTTTATTAGGTACACCACCCCGTTCACAAAAATGCAGGTTAAGATTTTAGGTTTTAGGTTTAATTTTATCCGCACCAAAGAAAAGAAGTGAAAGACAAAACAGTCCAGATAAAAACTGGTATAAACGGTGTGGTGGTGCGGTTGGAAACCCATAAGGGCTGATATATGAAAACCACACCACATATATAAATACAAAAAAATAAGTTTCTTCAATCAGTTAAACAGCATATTAATTATAATGTACATGATATACTCAGTATACAAGAAAAAACATGTTTGATTATGTGAGAGTGTGTGGGTTAGGCTACATGGAGGGGATTATTGGGTAGTTTGGTTCATCAGGCTGACCCCCAGTCTTCATGGAGGGGATTATTGGGTAGTTTGGCTCATCAGGCTGACCCCCAGTCTTCATGGAGGGGATTATTGGGTAGTTTGGTTCATCAGGCTGACCCCCAGTCTTCATGGAGGAGATTACTGAGTAGTTTGGTTCATCAGGCTGACCCCCAGTCTTCGCTTGAAGATATTGAGGGATGATGATGTTTTGGCAATGTGAAGATAAGAATTCTGATAGAGAATTGACTATGTGCAGCAGTGGGGAGGGTGACGGTTATCACAGTGTCTTTCCTCCCGA